CTGGGAGGGGGGAACTGGGACATAAATGAGAAGGAGGGAGGACTCAAACAGGTGTCCGTGGGCACAGCGGGCCTCCATCGAGGGCCTCGGTCTCAGCATTGCTTCTTTGCTCGGTGCAGGATGCCATGTTCAGAAACACCCCTGGCCAGTAGCACACACTCACCCCGACACTCTAGTTGTGGCAAAAAATGTCCCCGGACATTGACAAATCACTACCCAGGGATCAAAATCGCCCTCTGGTAAGAACGAACAGTTGACCCCGGTAGTTACCGAGCGGATTAGTTAGTTACTGACAATCCATCGCCAGAATTAACTCCAAGAGCAGCCACGGTGGCTGGAGCCCTGAGTTCCCCTGGACCGCTCACCTTGCTCATGCACAGAATGTCCTGGATGGATCTAAGCCTCGTTCCCTCCTGCACCGCTCAGCACCTCACCTTCAGCGCCCCGGAAAAGGTAATTCCCTATCCAGCCGACTTGACGGGGCAATGACGACGGCAACACAAAGGCCAGCTCTTGCTTGAATAGCTCAACACTTTAGCCACCTCTAAGGAACACTTCATTGGGATAGGAGCCCTGACTTAACACACAAACCCCATTTCCAAGCCCTCACTGTGGCCTCTGGCCTGTTGACCATTGCTCAGCTAGCTGTAAGCTCTGGGCTCACATTTCACTTCTGGAGCACAAACCCAACCTCCTCAGTCCTAACCTCGCCTCTTCAACCCCCAACCCCAACCCTGGGCTCACAGCTCAGCTCCAATCTCATCCCTGGCAAGGAAATCCTCTGAAAGGCCCCAGGCCACAGGTCCTTCTTACAAGCAAGCTCCCCTGTTTTCCCCCTTCACCAATGATGCCTGGAATTATCTGTCTGCTTGCGTCTGACCCCTCCCACTGCAGTGGATCCTTCGAGGCTGAAAACCTTCTGTCTTGTTCACTGCTGTAACCTAAGCACTGGGTCTGGCTCATCTGGCCCAGTGTCTACTTGTTTGAATAAGCTCATGGATCAGTGAATTCGCATAGAAACAATTCTTCATGTATTCATTTCCTTTCGCACCTATTCTTCATTTTATTCTTAAGACTGCTTCACATCCTGGTGCCCTTGGACTCACCTGTAAACCGTAAGTGGTAGTTACATAATCTGGTGTCAGTTTGAGAGGATTACGAGTGAAGGGGTGGAGCCTAGTCTGTCAATCGGATCATAGACAGTGAGGCCTCTGTGTGGGCACGGCCTTCCCCTGAGAATTCTGGGAAATCCGGTATTCCTTCTTGGAGGTGGGAGACACTATCTCACTGCTCACTCCCTGAGGCGATGGTCTACTGACAAGATACGTGGCGCTATGCCCTGGGAGCTGGAGAAGCCACATGGACCTACCCTGATGCAACCAGACCTCTGGAAACTGGAGAAGCCATGCGGAGAACCCTGCCATGCTGTGAGGCTTACAACGCCACTGGATCCAAAGACTTTCTACCCACTGGCCTGTGATCACCCTGCATTTGGCGACATTGCATGTGTTTCGTGAGTCTGAAGAGGACTTTATAGATTGGTATCGCACATATGGGCTAATATCAGACTTATGGGCTTAGACTGGACAGGGTTGAAATGCTTTCTTAATGTACAATTACCCTTTATATAAGATTCTCTCTTATATACATACACATGTCCATGGATTTGTTTCTCTAGTCTACCCAGACTAACACACCATAGGAATGGAATTCCCTTCCCGGAATACACCCTTAGTGGATCACAGAAATGCAGGCACCTGGCTGGGTTTTGAAAGCTGAGCTGACTCGGGCCCTCAACTCCTAGTACCTCCTTGCCCCCACAGGTCCTGAGAGGGGTCTGTGTAAGTAAAAGAAGGGCTGCTCCCCTCTAAGGAGAACCACCTTCCAAACACTCAGGTTGACCAGGCTTGATCCACAAAAGGATCCCATGCTTTCTGCACCCGGGACATCTCTGTGTTTGAGGAGAAGCCGTTAACTCATTGACAAAAACACTGGGGTGAGGCGGGCAGGCAGGCTGAGATGCTAAAATTAAATGACAAGGAGCCTTGCCAATTGGAGTGGATTCAGAAATGATAAACTAATCGTGGGGGATCAATGAGAAAGAGAGAATCAACTTGTGAGCATTTAAATTTATCAAAACATTATCGATGTGCAGGGAGTTGCTTTCTTTTTTTGTTTCACAATACAGTTTCTACCAGGTCCATTGTCTAAATAAACCTTTTTACCGACAAGCCTTGTGTCAAATTTGTCCATCCATCCATCCATCCATCCGCCTGCCTATCCATCCATTACTCTCCAGTATATGTCTGTGCAAAGCATCGTTTACCCCACCTGCCTGTCTACCGACCTGCCTACCTATTTGTCTTCCTGTCTATCTGCATGGATCCTGGGTTGCATTACCGATCCTGCCTGCCTGCTTCTCTGTTTGTCTTTCCATCGATATCATGGGTCCTCCGCTGCGTCATTCAAGTCTGTTTCCTAGCTCTGCCTGATCCTCAGCAGATCTTCGTACCAGTTGGGGCACCTTTATTTTCTGGGGAAATGGATCAGAGGTTGAGAAGATGGAGGAGTCTGAAGTCTGAGGGCCCCGAGTCTCCACCCACCTCTGCAACGCGCTTCCTGTGTGACCGTGGGCAATGCCCTTCACCTCTTGGTGGGCAATGCGCGGGGCCATCACATCCCCAGAGCAGCAGGCTTGAGCCCAAGAATGGTCGCTCAGCTGGGGGGTGACCGGTCACCCTCCAGTGGGATGGTCAAAGCTGAGGGTGCACGATGTCCCTTTCTCAATCAGTCTTCATAGACAGATTGGGTTATGTCCCCGAGGAAGGAGACACCTGAAGGTAGCTGCTGCATGGCCTGGTCTAAGACACATGCTGTTGGCCCAAGGTTGTCTGGGACACCTGTGAGCTTTCCTGCTGAGGAAGAACTGATACAGGACCCAAGAAGCCTTGCACTAGAGACACACACAGCACACACCTCCAGGGCGGGGCAGGGAGACGGGTTTGGACCGCTTCCCCGGGCACCTGCGGGGTATTTCCGCTCCATCTTGTGTTTGCATGTTCACCTGAAACTCTCACCAGCACAACCTGCTGTGATCCCACAGCTGGTCTTGCTGGAGAAGGCACTGTCAATGGACACCTGGAACCTTTGTGGTGGGGGCTCTGCTCACAGGAGGATGTCAGACAGCACATCCGGCCTCCTGAAACCCCCAGAGAGAGCAGGAACCTGCCGCCCAGTTGTGATAACACAGGTCTCCCTCCAGACACTGTCAAACGTCCTGAGGGCAGGGGTGGTGCAAAGTGACTGCTGATGGAGGACCGTGAGCTTAGACGGCGTAAGCAGGGCAAGTTCATATGTGGGGGCAATGTACAGGCAGGCAACTTACTGGGAGTGCAATTCACACGAGACAAGCATGGTCATCTGGGAATAGTAGAAGTTCAGGGAAAACCAGACCAGAAGATGGACACACTGAAAGGAGAAATGGACTCCGATCCAGATGAAGAGAGACTAGGAGGAAAGTCCTGGAGATCAACGTCTGAAAAGTAGCTGGCAGAAACCCTGACTCACAGCAGCTCACTGCCCGAGAGAGTGCAGGGGGATGAGCCTCAGGGAGGGATGAGCCTCAGACCAGAGCCAGATGGTCCAGGGCTGGCCAACCTTTTACTCTGTCTCTGTCACACACAAGGCTTTCTCTTGTCTGAGCTAAGTGCAGGGCCACCACCAACAAGGACATCTCCTTCAAAGCCATGGCCGTTCCTCTTGCCGGCCAGCTCTCCTGCCCAGTCACCCCTGAAACAGGTGTGACAGACATCCCCCCAGGGCAACGAGTGGAGAGGTAAACACGGGGAGACCCCAAGGCTCCAACCCCTTCTGCGCTGCCCTCTGGACACAACTACGGAAGGGGAATCACGGTGGTCTGGCCCTTTGACCTTCCCATCTGGGAAGACCCGGGCAGCAATGCCATTGCGATCGATGTCAAGGAGCCCAGGAGGAGGAGGCGGGCGATGGCTGCCAGTCAGATCCAGAGACCCCTAGGAGCTGATCGCTGAGTGGTCTTTACGTGGCCAAATGGGCTTGAGGGTCTCTAACGCTTCAGTGTTCGCGGTGGGCTCCATCTGCCTGTCCCCTCTGGACGCACGCACAGAGCCCGGAACATACTCAACTCATCTCAAGATCCAGCCCTTCAAATCCAGCGGGGACGGTAACGGCTGCCCCACTGCTTTCACAAACACGCCCTCTCCTGCACTCCTTCTGAGCAGGACTCCACAGGGAAACGATGATGGCGTTTCCCACGGACCTTTGCAAACCCCGTGGCAGAGACGTGGTTTCCAGCCACCCTCACCACCACGCAGCTAAGTGGGCACTGGTACGACTGTGGGGCTCTTCGGGATGGGAAAACGGAAGCTTAGCTCCCCTCCACATCCCAGGGCTGGGAGACAGACACAGAGCCGCCGTTCCAGCTGGGACCTCGCTCATCACTGCTCTGCCAGGAGGGCAGAAACGGGCACTCAGGGCCGTACCCGCTTGGAGCAGGCTGGCTGGTCATCTGCCCCACACAGAAACACCCCTGCAGCCCAGGCTCCCCAGGATGGCCCATGTGCAGGCAGACAGATGGGCAGGACTTCCTCCCTGGCAGCTGGCTCCCGAGGCCAAGACCCGAAGGGCAGCATCTCTCCCTCCACGGGCTTCCTCGTCAGTGCGGAGCAGAGGCAAGGGGCTCAGTTTAGCTCGAAGGCTTGGCTACGGTTCTGGGCAGGGGTAGGAGAGACACCCAGACACCAGGATGTGTGTACACACACACAAGCTGACACGCCAGCAGGTCAGACACAGCGCACAGGCACAGCCTCACCTCTGAAAGGTGTAGGAACACAACCTCCTGTGCACAGCCTGTCTAAGCCAGGGGGCCAAGAGGACACACACACACACACACACACACACACACACACGTCTGGGACACAGAGGCAGAGAAAAGTGACAAAGACCACGGGGCAGGCACTGACCTGGGTCTCCAGGGTGATCAGTGGACTCGGGGGTGGGTCCTGTGGAGAGAAGAAACAGGAAACAGGCATTGGTGGCGGGGAAGCATGAAGGTGCGAATCCTGCAGCATTTAAAACAGTTCGTGATCCTCAGTGCTCAGGCAACCCCATGGGGAAGGCCCCCATCTGTCTCTCCTTCCATGGAGACATCTGACCAGTGAGAGTCAGTCTGCCACCCCCTACTTCCTCCCACCTCCAAGTGATCAAGGGGCTGTTCATTCAGGGTCACGGCATGAGCACTGCAGATACTAGGAGGTACAAGGACGTCTGAATCAAAGCCCGCCAGCCAAGTACCAGAAAGTGTGTTCAAACCCAAAAGAAGGGAGATGGGGCCCACAGGGAGCAGGTAACAAACCCAGAAGAATACAACACCCTCAGGAGCGGCAAACAGTCTCTGGATGCCCTGCGGATGGTGAGCACACCACTACAAACCTCAAGTTGGCCGGTCCAACCCCCCTAAGCACTTCCACAAAAGAAAGGCCCAATAACGTGCTCTCCTACAGAAGGAACCCAGGGTCTCCGCCCTGTGCCAGGAGACGCATGGGCCGCAGCAGCCTGCCCAACGGCAAAGAAGAGAAAGGAGGTGGTGTGTGTGTGTCTGTGTATGTGTATGTGGGGGTGTGTCTATGGGGCAGGTGTGGGTGTGTCTGTGTGTCTCTGTGTATGTGCATGTGTGTGTGGTGTATGTATGCCTGTGCATTGTGCATCTGTGTGCATTTGTGTGGTGTATGTGTGTATGTGCATGTGTGTGTCTCTCTCTGTGTGTGTACGCATGTGTGTGTGTCTGTGGTGTGTGTGGGTGTCTGTGTATGTCTATGTGGGGGGGTGTCTATGGGGCAGGTGTGGGTGTGTCTGCGTGTCTCTGTGTGTATGTGTGTATGTGCTTGTGTGTGTGTGTCTATGTGTGTGTGGTGTGTGTCATGTGCATGTGTGTGTGGTATATGTGTGCATGTGCATGTGCGTGTCTGTGTGTGTGTGCATGTGTGTGGTATATGCGTGTATGTGCATGTGTGTCTCTGTGTTTGTGCATATGTGTGTGTCTGTGGTGTGTATGGGGTGGTGGTGGTGATGCGGTGGTAGGGAACAAGCTAACAGGATGGCTGAGTGTTGATACAATGTGAAAACTGTAACCAAGCGAAGGGAACAAGCGGCTGCTAAACAGGAACCTAATGTGTGGTGTGAAAGTTCACCTCAAACACAATAAAAAATCTAAAAACAAACAGATGAGAGAAGGAGGGAGACTGAGGCGGTGAAAGAGAGCCCCCCCAAACCCTGGCTTGAGTAGCAACTTCTAACAGGCTCGGGGAAGAGGCTTCTCGGGCAGGGGGGCTCCCAGTAGCCTCCTCTTCATTCACTCTCTATGAAAGCCAATTGACTGAACTCCCTGCAGGGGGGAGGGCAGCGGGAGGTCGGAAGGGGGAAGGAGCTGAAGGGGAGGGGCGGTGGTTTTCACCAGGGGGTCTCTGGGGTTGGGGAGGACAGGACACCTGGTACTTAAGGACTGCTTCTGTCTGTGCGGTGTCTGCTCGGAATCAAACCACCTCCAGCACACCAATCCGGGAAAACAGCCTGGAGCTGCCTCTGACGGAAACGGGCCTGAAGTGCGGAGCCTGCAGGACACACCAGGCTGTACACACTTGGCTGTCTCCCAGCAGCCCTTCAAAAGCCTTCTAGAACGAAGTCACGCAAATTAGCACCAGCCCTAGCCAGCCTTTACTGTGCACAAGGAGATGGGAGTGTGTTGCAGCCCCTCGCTACCTCCTAGGTGCTGGAAGCTGGAGGGTGACAGATGAGGGGAAGAATGGAGGTGCTCACACTGGCCCTGGGGAAGAATGCGGAGTGCTCCCTGGACTGCCAGCAGGGGAGTGCAGAGTGGAGACCCAAAGCCCATTTGTAGGCCACTGGACATCCCCTTACAGAAGGGTCTCCGGGAGGAGACAAGCCAGTCAGAGTGCGATGTAGCAACGATGAAACATTCCTCTAGTTCCTAAATACTTCCTCCCCCCCACTATCATAATCCCCATTCTACCTTACAAATCTGGCTAGACCAGAGGATGTACACTGGTACAGATAGGAACTGGAAACACAGGGAATCCAGGGGAGCCCAGGAGGAGGAGGCGGGCGATGGCTGCCAGTCAGATCCAGAGACCCCTAGGAGCTGATCGCTGAGTGGTCTTTACGTGGCCAAATGGGCTTGAGGGTCTCTAACGCTTCAGTGTTCGCGGTGGGCTCCATCTGCCTGTCCCCTCTGGACGCACGCACAGAGCCCGGAACATACTCAACTCATCTCAAGATCCAGCCCTTCAAATCCAG